TTCCTTCAGTCAGAGAAGGGCAAGCAGAGGACACAGTGCTGCCAATGACCAACACAAGTACAGTATATTGTATTGTGTACTCCCTGAGTTATTTAACTTTGAGCCTATACCTCATGTAAATTATTCTGTTGAGTCCCAACACAGCTGGAAATAGTGACAAAGGTGCAGTCACAAAATATTAGAGAAACTGTTATTTCCGTTGTTTTAAATAGTTACTCTAATGCACATAGTGTACAGCTAACATTACATAATAGGTTTGATACAAACAGTGAGGCTAAAGCACTAAATTTCAGCATTAAGGATCTTTACATCTAAATTGGATAAAAGATATATAAAAGGCAAAAGGCTTTTGAAACAAGCTGGAATTAAAAACTTGAAACCTGTCAGACCATCATCAGAGAAGATAAGCTCCTGGCCACAGACTTCAGTCAACTGCATTTTTAAAATGTAGTCCAAACATTGTTCCCCTAATATTGAAGTATCATGTGTAATGAGGTCTAAGATTCCCACAATTCATCTGACATGGATGTAACACCCTCATACAAATGATACATTTCTGTATTTTCACAACATGTCATAGCAAGAAATGCATATGTGTAATTAATACCATTAATAGTGGCTTTGTTCAATTTAGGTGCATCAGGAAACCATGACAGTGAGCATTCAAAACAGAAGGGCCTTAGAACAGCTCGATGGATATCACTGGATGTCACTTTAAATCCAGCCAAACACGCTGCTGGAGCTTTTGTGCTTTCACAGCTCTTCGACAACTGCCTCATGGTAAGTTGGTGTAAGCTGCTGAGCTAGTCTGCAACAAGAGCTGCTTATCATGCTTCAGTGGGAGGAAGACAAGAGTTGGATACAACAACTCAGATTTCCTTCCGAGTATCAGAACTAACCTGTACTGTGAGTGGCTTCCCTTAAACTTATGCTTCTGCATCAGTGACTGAGGCAGAGAAATCAGTCTGCTGGGATCTAACCTTGACCATACATACAATACGTTTACATGCCATACATACAGTGTATTAAGCAGGTGCTCTTTGGAAGGAATACACAATATTAAATAAAACTACACCACCATTTATCCTTTTAGGCAAAACTCCACAATAAGCTGAGCACAAACACATTTGATCAATCATTGCCTTAAAAAGCTGTTATCGGGTTGTCAACACAGGCAGCAGACTGAGCAATTTTTCATTAGCATTCATTTAGAGTTGGGTTTTTGGCAACATACTGTCCAATATTCACTCTACCTGCAAACAATTTTAGTCTTTACCAACACCTAAAAATATATCTGTGCTCCACCAAATTAAAAGAAGAAAATTTGTCTTAAAGAAACTTTGAAAGTCTTCCAGCAACACCTGTCACTTCAGCCAGAACAATCAAATCATGACTACGTTTGTTTTGTTTGTTTGTTTTTTTACTAGCAAAGGGCAGTTACATTTTCAAGTCTGAAATCTTTCCTTCCCTTGAACAAGCACTGTCAACATACATTGAGTAAAACACTGCTCTAAATGTATATAGTTGGCACACAATGCACAGAAGGTCTCTGTGTTTACCATGATCGTATCTCTAGATGGTCTCTCCAGTATCGGCCCCCTCTCTCTGAGCTATGGGGATAGCACTGTGCTGTACAGTGGTACTGTAAGTCTCAACACTATAACATTAATTTAATATGTTCCTCCTGCATTTGACTGATATTACAACCACTCATCACAGTCAAACGCAGTCATCCCCACAAAGAGGAGCCTGCAATTGGTTTATTTCTTCTGGTGGTATGTCTCACAGCCACCTTATGCAAACGAATGATCAACTGCATGAAAGAGGACTATAAGGAAATACAAGCTGGAATGTTTGCTAACTGTTAACAGACTGGACTGGTGGAAATTCAGTGAAAACTGGTTTGGATTTCTGAGCTCAAAGAATGGAATAGATGGGTGTGTGCATGTGTCTTGCACCTGAGACAAAACAAAGGATAAGATAAGCAGAGAGAGAAAGCTACATCAAGGTAACAGGTGTATAAAAATAAAGTATTTTAAACAGGGATGTGCTAACATTTTTCAGGGGACGAGGAGGATTACATGGTCAGTTTCTCAGTTGACAGTTATACCACCATGTCAGAGAGTGGTGTTCCTTTACTTAAATGAGCCTGATTAGTGCTACTTTCTACAGCAAGCACACATTAAAAGCTGCTGTGTCTTTAAGATGCAGGGATCTCCCCATGGGAGTAAAGCCTGCCGTGTATTTACAGCAATAGCTATACGGTCTTGCCTCCATCACACAGGCATTTTGTCAGTGTGAGAAAGCACTCAGCTGAACCACTGACTGAACTACTGTGTGTTGACAAGGCCTGCTAACAAAGACGACCTTTCAGCACTCAGCGGTTTCTCCCTTCTTTCCTGCTTTTTGCAGCAACATTCACAGCAGTTCCAGATCCACTGACAGAGGATCTACTGCACTGGCATGCCATACATCTCTATCTCTGCTTTCATGTGATGGAGCAGGGTGACACTGACATTCACCAAAATGCCCAGCTCGCCAAGTCAGCACACAAGACATTCAGCACACAAATCACCAGCTCAACCCTGAGTGATCACTATGTGCAATCCTTCAGAGCCTGAAATCCACAATTAGTTACATTACAACAAAAAGAGAGATAAAACCAGTTTTAACCAGCCAGATGACAATTTAGACTTTGCACTCTAAACAAATGTTTCTTATTGGTTCCTGGCAGATCAACCTTCATTCAACCAGTCATAACTGACACCCCATCGCCGAGTGTCACTGAAACCAACAGACATTATACTGGTCCTACTTGACTTAGGAAAGTATTGGAAGGATTGCAGTCTCTGTTACAGCTGGAATGATTGTTTGGTCAATCAACAAAAAATGAATTACCATTGTCCGATTACCATTATGATAAATCCATTAATAATGCAAGTCATGTATCAATCAAAAATACAGGCTTTGTTCCAGCCTCTCAAATGCATGCATCTTATTTATTTTATTTTGTTGAATTTGGGCCACGATTAATGCACCATAATGACTCGCCATGCGTTTTCATTAGTACTGGATGTTAAACAGTGTTTTTTTTATCTATCAATGCAGACACACTGGTGGTAGAATTGTTGCTGAGGTAGAGTAGGCTACATTAGCAGCATGGCTAACCAAAACACAACAGAACCGTGAATGAAACCACTCGCACTGACTTGTCACAACGTGGCTGTATCATGCTTATAACATTCCCCCTACAACCCCTCACCCCCCTGAAGAAGGCAGCCCCTTACATTAAAACACAGCAAGGCGTTGTGTTTTTGGCTGAACAATGTAAATGTATGATTACAGAATAACTGTTTAATAGTTCCCAGTAAATATCAAGTAGCATTTTAGCTTGAACTTGAAATGCCTTGCTAATTAGGCTTTGCTGACATAGAAAGAAACAAATTGCTACTGGTGATCAAAGCACTACAGGTGGCAACACATTATAGCAAAGAAAAGTTGTGAGAAAAAAGGTTTACGTGCAGTGCAAATGGTTGAACCGACACTGGCTAGCCTAGAATCTAACAAGTGGTAAACCAACACTCCTTGACAGTCCATGTAGTTTTTCCACAGTCTGTATAAATGCTGCTAAACCAGTGGCTATGAAATAAGTGTTCATGCTGACACAAGGCAAAAAGACAGTAAATTATTGATTGCTCAAAAGGCCTGGTGTGAGCTTATTAGTGGATGAGCTTCCACATGAACTGACATTTTCTCCAGTGACTGAAGAAAATGAGGAAAAGGATGAGAGAAAGTTTGAAAATTCAGGTTTTACAAAGGCTACTCTTTTTCAAAAGCCTTTTAAGGCATCCATTTTACATCAAACCACAGGAAGTATGTATGTATGTATGTACAAATGTTACTTCTGGAAAAAGACAGTTTACTTTCAGTTTGCCCTTGTTTTGAAATGCTGTAGGAAGAAGGATGTCTGTACTTCTATGACAAAAAAAGCAGTCAAAATACAGGCTTACTCTTCTTCAACTCTTTGATAAACATAAGCAGAGCATGGTTGACTCATTAACAATACATGACACTCAGCTGTGGGGGAAGGAGTGGGTGGGGGACAGTTCCTATTCATTTCCTGTCTGTCACTCTTTGATCAAAGAGCCTATTGCACTATAAGAGTCTGCTATACATTAAAATAAACTTAAAATAATTTAACAAAAAAAAAAAAGAAGTTGCATTCATATAGGATGTAGATTGATACTGGAGATGCACCAGATCAGTGGTGTGGTGCATGTATGGAATTGTGTTTATAAACCAACAATGAGGATACACTTACCAATTTGATGGCCACATATTCGTTAGTATAGAGATTTTTTCCCAGCCGCAGCTCACCAAAGTTCCCACAGCCAATTTTTTTACCCACACGGAAGTTTGGGCCAACCATAAGAACTCCAGAATTCCTGTTGCCTGCTGTCTTAGACATCTTTTTCCCTTCCTCTGTCTCTCCCTTGCCCCCTCTCTTGTCAAAATCCATAAGCTTGTGATACCCTGGCCTCTCCACGGTTATTCCCCAGCCATGCAAACCACAAAAACTCCAATAACAATGGCACGAGGATGCTTCAGGGAGGGGGAGGGAGACAAATCTCAAGAGGGCAGAGGAAAGGTGTTGCTGTTAAAATGTGAAGTGGTTCAGAAGATACTTCAACAAAATGAAACTACTGCCAGCGTGCACCATGTGTCAGTCAGACAGCGCTTTTGCTGACCACTTCCCTTTTTTCGTATTGTTCCTTGTTTATCAGAGGGGCTCCGTTCTTGTGCGTTCCTTCAGCTCCAGTTTAAAGTAGCATGTCCCTGCCTGAGAAGTAGCCAGGTTGTGCTAGGATGTGTCCACAGACACACATACAATATTAGTCATAAAAAAAGCACTCCGAAAGCCAGCTACTGAATCCACGAGGCCACTTGGGAACATCTCCTGGAGTGGCTCATTTTTTCTGGTCAGCCTTTAGTGACACAGTGAACACTCTCCATGCTGTGGGGCCACAGCAGACAACACACCCCAGGTTTAGAGCAAACAGCAACAAGAAAGAATGGTGGGTTTGATGGACCAGATACCTGCAAAAAAATAGAATAAATAAATAGATTATTAATTAAAATTTAAAGAAAAACAATCAGTACATGCAGTCATGACCAAAAATGTCGGGACTCCTGCATTTCTGTCAGAAATGTTGGCTGTAAACGTCTTGACAATGTTGCACATAGTGGACACAGGAACATCAAGATCTCTGGAGATGGACTTGTAGCCTTGAGACTGTCCATGCTTTTCCATTAGTCAGAAAATTCTTTGCTCTTCTTTCTTTTCTCCATGCCAAGTGTGGTCCACACAACACAAAGGCTGAGTTAACTTTTCTCCATTCTAACTGGCTGCAACTGTGATTTCTATATTGCCAGTACCTGTGGATTGCTACAGATGAGTTTCATTACAAATTAAAGTAGCATTACATGCATGAAATACAACTATATGTGATGTTTTTGAAAAGGTATCAATGATTCTGCCCAGTCCATTTTTAGAGTTCTGTGTGTAATGTATCAGATTCTGCTTTTTCTCTGCTTTCTTTTGTGTTCTTCCAATGCAAACAAAACAAACAAACATGACAGTACCAAAGAATTTGTGATTGCAACAATTGTGATGCGTTATCCGACAGAAATGCAGGAGTGCCAAAATTTTTTGGCTATGACTGTAGATTATGATGCCAAGTTCCATGTATGATAAGTAGCATGTGTATTATCTGCCACACTAAAGCTTGACATATATTAACTGGCTGTCCAATTATAAATTTAGTCAAATACTATATATGCTTCATCTGTGAAGCAAGCAATATGAGACAAAATATTGCAAAACCAGCAAGTCAAATCATTATTTGTCCTCCAAAATGCTTCATGAACATTAGTGGATAAAAAATGTTCAGGGAAAAAAAAACAACCTTAAACATTTTAATTGAAGATCAAATTATATCTACTGTGGCTGTTTCTTACTACACCTGAAATGAAATCTCATTCCAGACTGGTGCAAGGCAAATTCAAGTTATCTCTCTATCTATGTATGAGTGGAAATATTTCATAATGGAGACATATCCTTGACAATTAAACTTATTTTACAAACCCACAAACACAATGCCTTACAGAGATGTAGTAGATCAGAAAGTTGTCTCTTTATACACAAGACCAATGATTTAAGTTTCAGACTCATTCTTCAGCTGCTTGTACAGATGTTTAGAGCCTCAAATAAACAAAATAAATCAGAACACAGGCCAGGATTAGAAAGAAATAAACACATGTCTTCACATATATAAAAGCATGTTTACATAATGCAAAAAGTGTTCAAGTAAAAAGGTGTCAAGATATCAGGGTACACTATTTCTGAAGTAATGCCAGGCACAGATATCATCAATAACAACCATAATTTCAGCTTTCTTTAGCTGTGTAATTTGACCAGGTCTCTGTAGCTTTTTGCAAACAATCACACACAGACGTCTCTGTCCAGAGTGGCTCTCATAACTCCCCCATGTCCGTGATCTAAGATGCTGGTGGTGCTGAGGAGAGCAGGTAATGTAGGCACTAGGCAATGGGCAGCTACTCTTTCCTATGAAAAGGCACTTACACAAATCAATGACTACTGTAATGCCTCATCTCTTCATAACATTTGCATCATTGGGAAGCATATTATTGGACAGATTTGGATAGAGTCTAGTCTACAGCTAGCTCGGCTGTGTCTGACAAACTAAGAACTACTACTGGCATCACAGGACTAAAGTACACCATTATCAGACATAACTATGCTATTGATGAGTGAACCTTATATTATCCATCCATTATCTATACCTCTTATCCAGTAGAGGGCCACGCCAGAGCTGGTGCCAATCATTATTTAATGTAAAATTATAATTAAAATCACTCACATATAATACCCTTGTGATTTTAATCTGTATGCATGTTTATTTCACAAACAATGAAATGGAAGAAATGGCATTCCTAGCAGAGACAAAGCTATACAAAATTACACCTGCTACTCAAGCCTGAAACGTTTTGAGATGTATTTGTGAGTAAATTAAGAATAAAAAAAGTACATAGAAATCCACTGAAAAGCTTGTATGCAACTGTATTTGACTGCTGCAGTCAACAAACCTGAGGAAATGTAGCATTTATAAGCCTGGTATGAAAACTGTCATTACACTGTTGTGTCCTTCTTGTAGCTACCACAATGCTTAGTGCAGGAAATGAGAAGAGACTAGCCTACCTGGTCACAAGGTTAGAAGTACAATAAACAAGGTGGGTACAAGTTAATAAGGCCCGCATGTCAAAGTGCACCATACCAAGTACCATTATCAGTCAATGCATTTAAAATATAAGTATGGTTATACTGGAATGTGAATACTCATAGAGATGTCCGTGGAAACCAACAACCTAGCTTACTGTCTCGGGTAACGTTTTGGCAAGCTTAACCATATGTCTGGTCTCATTACTGCCGCATTTCAGGAAGTTGTGTATTGTTTTTCATGTCAGCTGTCTGGTATAGCTATCAAGTTGTTTAAAGCATACCGAGTATCCTTATAATCCCACTTCTAAACACATAGGCAAACATCAAATGAATATCTCCCCAAAACGGAATCTTAAGTCAGACAGTGGCTCTAACGTCAGTTTTCTAACGTTATAATCATTGTCAATACAGCTAGCAAACTTTGCGGTACTACATCGCAAGACGATTTCCAATCGTACACATATGAATCCAACTACTTACAGTGGGTCCCTCATTTGCATTATATAAACTATACACAGAATTAAGTCGTACGTGGTACAATCATCTGCCTTTCTGAGCTTAATAATAGCTAACTGGCTACCAAATACTGACTGGCAGCTGTCAATGATTTAGCGTTGGTTTCAGGTGATCTCAAGTACCTGCTTTCTCTCTTTCTTAGTACGGAGTTTGTTGTCCGATACGTGATCGGAAAACAAACTCCGTACATCAAATTCCCACTGATAAGTGTCTTCAGAAAACCTAGCGGTAACATTTGGCTAGCTGGTTCGTCGGACAGGGCCAAATACTCTCCGGCTATCCAGACGTTTGATAGCAAGATCGAGCTAGCTTATATCGTTCTATCGTAGCCACTGTGTTTCTGTTAAACTATTTTCTTGTACTATACAAATACAGCACCAATGGCAATTAAATCTAAAGTAACGTTAGACGTTTATCTTCATTTCGTAGCCTAGTCGAAATGTCACTATGCTGAATTAAGATAGCGTAGCTAGCGCCTACCAAAACACAGTTCCTTTTGGCCCAGCGCCTCATAAAAAACAGCCTACGATGTAACAGTAAGCCAGTCTGTTAACACTACACAATAATACCATGAGATAGTTAGCTGTTATCAATTTAAAAAAGTGCAAGCAGGACGGAGCATAAAATATTCATTGATTGACATTCCCTATGCTACATTAACCTGGTTAGTTAGTAAATGCTTAATAACTGAGACGTCCAAGCGACGTTGTTACTGATAATCTCACCTGG